ATGTGGGCGCTGGCGTCGGCGCCGGCGCCGGCGTGCACGGAGCAGCAAATACGCCGCCGTTTGCACTGCATCTCCCCGCGGCCTCCTTCTTCTCTTTCTCCTCGCCCTCCAGCCCCTTCGCGCGCACCGTTTCCGTTACATTTTGACGCGCTCACTGCGGAGGGGGGCAGGTTTTGCCCCCCGAGCTCCAGCCACGCAGCTGCGGCCCAACAAGCGTTGGCGCCGACGCGGAGTCGGGCGTCGCAGCTGCACTAGGCGTCGGAATTGGAGGCGGCACAGGCGCTGGCGTCGATGCCGGCACAAGCGCTGGCGAAGTAACGCCGGAGAGTCGGGCGCTGGATGCTAAGGGCCGGCGCGCTGAGTTAGTGGACGCTGGAGTTCGATAGGTGGAGGCGGGGGTGGACAGTCGCACGCAAGAGTCCGCCCCCGTCGGGGTGCTGAGCTGGTGGAGGCTGGAGGTCGATAGGCGGAGGTGGAGGCGGACGTGCAAAGTCGGACGATGGACGCTGGAGGTTGGCAAGGTAAACTGGCGGAGGACGAGGGTCGAAAGTTTCGGCGTAGCAGTTGGATTCGCACTGCACACGGCAACCAGCATTGTGCTTCACACTCGGGCGCTGTTGACAGCCAGGCTGCCGCCACACCCGTCCGCTATGATGTCGGTCATTACGAACCACGCCGTTCTCGTCATTCTGCTTCGCGCTCGGGCACCTCGGTGAGCTTGGATGACGCTGGACCCGCTACATCTGATCTCCGAGGGCACCCAAGAGCCACTCCATCCTTACCTCTAGCTTCGGCAGCTGCGGTAAGACCTATGTCACTTCCTGCTGGAGTCCAACCACTGCGACACAATCTAGTCTCCAGGGTGCCAACTACGCGATATTGGCGCGTAGAAAACTGCTGGACTAGCGCAAGCATGCGGCCGGGCAGATCGAGGCCAGCCGCATCCTGAGATCGACACCGAATCCTGGCACGATGCCCTCTCGCAGCCTTCCTGCGCGGCCGCAGCGCAAGTACATTCGCCACTGCAACGCTGACCTGGGGCGGCATACCTGACGCGCGGGATTCTCGTGGCACGCCCGAATGTTTCGAGCCAGCTAGTGGCGAACAGGCAGCCCGTAGATCCAGGACAGGCGGGTAGATGTCGGGCATCTCGCACGCACCAAGTTTCGGATGGAACCCAAGACCGTCGTTGGACTGCGCTGCTGACATCCAAATCAAAAGCACATCAGCGGCAGCATCAATGAATACTGACCACGGTTGAAAGTCGGCGTCAGTAGTCGGGGCAATGCCCACGGACGCAAGGCGTGCCATGGTATCTGCGTGCTCGTTCAATGGATGAGCATTGTGCCCCCATGACATGTTTCCACGTAAGTGGCGTAAACTGTCGCAGTAACTTCAGGGCCCCGTCGCAAATCCACGGCAGGCCCCCACATGACACATAGTAGCGCGCCCCCCCCCCCGGTGCCGCTGATACCACCACATGATTATCAGCGAAAACTTCGACAGGGAGATTGCGAAACCTTTCAAGGGCTTGCAGCAACCATAGGACTAGCCAAAGAGCGGCGTGAACTTCGACAGCGCCTGACGGGCTGGTCACAGCGTCAGCCAGCACACGGTCGACGCCGCACAGGTACCCGTCAAATATGTATCCCCCCGTCATTGTAACTGAGAAGACGCGCCACGCCCAAGACGCGGGTCCGCCCAGCTGTGGATGTTTGGACCTTCCGGACCCATCTGCATACACTTCCCGTATTAAAACTTGGTCGTCAACAGGGGAGAGGGCTCCGCGGGTCTCAAATAAAAGATGGGTGATGTCGTGCAGATCAGGGCAAAAAAAGGCATCGCTCGGACCCCCCTTTGGGGCCCAAGGAAAAGTGGGGTGGTGGGCGAACTGAGGGGCCAGGGCTGACGGAGATGCCTGACCAGCGCACTGCAATCTGAAATGGGGCACCGAGGGCGAACTGGATCAGTCTCTGCACGAGACTGCGCCGGCGGCGGCCTGGCTGGAAAAAACTAGCGGCGGGCAAGCTGCGAGCTGCCATCTCGAACATCTCACTCGCCAGAGCTCGCCCGCCAGGCCGCGCCACCCCGGCGCTGGCGCCCCCGACGCGTTGCCTGCACCGCCCACAACTAAAAAACTGCCCCCAGTCCGCCTCGGGCCATGACTGCGACTGCGTCTCTGGCGACGGGTGGCCAGTCCAGCCGCGCGCTGCCCACCTGCCCCCGCAGCGACTTCAGCGCGTCCGACGGGCGTCGGTGGGACAGCACTTCGACCACGATGGCTGGACGTCGCCTCCTGCCGAGCGATGGCATCGCGCAGCCCTTGATGTTCATCTGGCTTGCGAGCTCGATCTGCTTCGCGCTTGGCATTCATTGCCGCCGCCGCGCGGGCCCTCAGCTCCGCGGGCGAGGCCTGCCCGCTGGCGGATGGCCGCGAGCCGCCATCGACTGGGGAGTCGACGGCTGCCGCGGACGCCTGCGCCGCGGCCGCGCGGGCGGCGGCCTCGGGCGGCACGGCCGCGGCCTCCGCGGACCCGGGCGGCCGGTCGGCGCGAGGCGCCGACTTTTTTTCCAGTGCGCTGCGCACACCAAGGCTCCTAATCGCGGGAACGCGCGGGCCTGCACGCGCGCGTTTGAACCAGAATGCCGCGAATGGGATGTCCGAGTAGAGCTGGGAGCCTTTCCACGCGCTGCTGAATTGCACAACCAACCGACCGACGATGCCAAAGGAGACCACGCAGATCTTCTTCACGATGTCTGGATGAAGCCCGACCTGCGGAGCACGGCAAGCCTGCGAGGCCCAAGCGATTCCAACTGCTCCTCCGCGTACGCGCGCGAGGACCCCATGCACTCCGAGCCGCCGTCGCGGGCAGCCGCCGCCAAGGTGGTCGCTGCCCTCCTCGATGCCAAGTTCTGGGGGGGCCCTCGCAGGTGGAGCCCTCGCCGTTGCCGCCGAAATTGCCCCCGACGACCCCGCCGACGCTCCGCCGGTCAATGCCGTAACGCTCGGGCCCATCGAAGTGGAGTGGCGCGCCGAGGTCGACGTCGCAACTCTCGGGCCCGTCAAAGTGGATCGGCGCTCCGAGGAAGTGGGAGTCGGGCTCGAAGTGGCCCTCGAAGGAGTCGGGCACGAAGTTGCCCTCAGAGGTGTCGGGCAAGGCGCCCTCCAAGATGCCGAAGATTTTGGGCAGCGCGCCCTCGGAGTTGTCGAACGCGTCGGTCTGCTGGTTGGAGTCCTTCTCAAGCGTGCACGGAAAAACTGTTGTGCGCACGGTCATGGCTGGAAACGCCTTGGCGATGGTAGGACGCCTGGGCTGAAAATCCTCGAACTGCAAAGCCGAAGATGCGCCCGGCGCGAAAATCAACGGAGCCTCGCCGAATTTGGTGGACTCTACTCCTCCTTCACCTGGAAGGGCAGCGGCAGCGGCGGCAGCGCCACAGGGCCCGGGCCGACGTTCACGAGCACCGCCGATCCCGTAGATGAAGATGATCCCGCAGGAGTTGTTGAGCTCGTCGCACGCGCTGAGCTCTGACCGACGAGAGGAGCTCGCGAAGACGACGGGCTCGCCTGGGGAGCCGTGACGGAGAGGCTGTACATGTAGGCCTTGAGCATATTGTGTCTCAGCCTCTTCTTGTAGTTTTTGATGGCCGAGGACTGGCCGTTCCTCTTCTTCTTCACGTTTTCCCCCTGCTTCCCGGTGCTCTGATCCAGCTTCACTGTGCCGAGCGTCTTGTGCCAGCGCTTCAGCCTCTTGACGGGCTGTGGCGGCTGGGAAGGCGGCGCTGGCATCGCGCCCTCGATCGGCTCCTTCGAAGTGAGGACCAGGGTGACCGTGCCCAGCTTCACCTTCGCGTTGTACTCCTTGCCCGCGCCCAGTGGATCGCCCCAGTTGCCTGGCGGAGGCGATGGAAGTGGCCCCAACGTCCAGCACTGTGACGTTGACACTGGGCCAGTCACCATGATGGGCAAATTCGGATATACGCGCTCCAAGGTCGCCGCAGATGAGCGGGGAGGGCACCAGAAGTCGAGTCTGCGCATGCACCAGTAGAAGCACTGGTGGTGCAGAACTCGAAGAAGCACTTGACCTCGGAGTTGCGAAGGATGCGCTTCGTCTCAAGCCGCACCCGCCTGAAGGAGGCAGCGTTCAGCCCCGAGGGGGCCGCGTGCGCACGGGCGGCCCTGGCGCGCGGCGGCCCTGGCTTGAGGGCGCGAGGCGCCGACGCGTCTGGGGCAGCGGCCGCAGGCCCAGGCGGCTCGGCGCGCGGCGGCGCCGATGGCGCGGCCGCGGGCGCAACCGCGGGGGCCGGCCGCTGCGGCTGCTCCGCGAACGGTGCCACGCCCGCGGCAGTCTCCATCCCTGCACCAGGCCCCGACGCCTCTCGCGCGGCGCCCATGTTCACCTGGGGCGCCGTCAGCAGCTGCGCGAGCGACGTCAGCTGCATGGTCAGCCAGGCCTGCCCTGCCTGCAGCTCCGCGACGGCGGCGACAGGCGGCGCCAGGTCTGGAGGCGCGCCATGAACTGCGCCTGTCGTCGACGGGGTAGGCGCAGCTGCTGCAGACTCCATGTTCTCGTCGGCGTCCGACTGGGGTCTCATGGCCTCGAGCTGGTCCAGCAACGTCTTGGCACGACTGAGTGCCTGCCCGCGATGCAGCACCTTGGCCTCTTTCTCCTCCAGAGAGGTACGGGCTGGGTCGGCTGCAGCATTGGCCTTTTCAAGCTTCACCTGGGCACGCTGGACGAACGCTCTTTGTCTGTCACACCTCACTCCTGCTGCCCGAGCTGAAATGATCATGCACAGCTGGGCCGCATACTCCTCCTCCTC